TGGTGCTTTTTATCACCATAGCAACAATCCCAAAAAAGTGTATCAGCCGAAGGAGGAAAAAAAATAAAATCCCTGATCACTGAGCATTTCTTAGAAGATCAAATGTCTGCTTGTCTAAATATGTAAAAACCCAAACCTTATTTATGGGATGCAGCTCAGCTTTCAGTATCACCTGCATAGCTACTGTTTATCCAACAGAGGGCGCAATATGACTTTTTTTGGACAGAGTTTCTCACATTGATTTTCCTAGATCTTTTTAAGTCAAATACTCTACAAACTCTCTAAGAACACCAGTGCGTTAAGATGCATTATTGTTATAGCCTTCCTTAGCGCTTCCATCATTCGTCTCTGACAACTCAGTACGCAAGCTCAGTACGCGAGCTGGGGAGATTTCCGCTCTGAACGCGCAGGACATGAACACAATATGAGGGAAACGACGCAACAGCTCCCTTGTTGACATTTTGTATACACTTAAAATCGACAGCCTACCGTGTATTCGCCTCCGTGCAACTCAAACACGAAAAACACGTCCGAACTTTGGATTCACGGAGACGTAAGGATCCCACGGCTGCTCATGCGCGTGCGTCTTACGCTGTCACTGGTGTGCAGCCTGTCAGACAGCTGCAGCCAACTCGCTCGCTCGCGGCATGTGGAGCAGGGCTGAGTGAGGAGGGAGGAAGGGGGTGGAGGGGTTGTCCGTTTGACCAACATCGATTTGAGCGGAGGTAGTCGACACTCGTGGACGAGCCTTTACCGCGGTGGCAACGTCGGTGTGACAGCTCCCCTTCGCAGCGAGGGAGAGAATGAGAATAGTGGATGTAGTTTGTACAGCGCGGCAACAGAGAAGTCACTTCAAAAGGTGAGCGGAGAAAAGCTTTAGCGTCTCTGACACACTGTGTTGTCTTCTCCATCTGATTAGCGCTTGTAACGAAACGACCCGTTTGTTACTGTCTTTTCCTGTCCTGTTATGTTTTCACAACTTGCGCAATCAGCTAGAGATCAGTAAATGAACCCCTGTTCACTCGTTTTAAAACTAGTCGCACGTGCAGGGCTGTTAGAAAGCGCTCGTGTTAACCGTTAATGGAAGTGAAGGTTTAATTGTGCTCGTGAATGTTTTGGTTTTTTTTTTTTACGGAACAGATACGGTTTATGGTGAGAGAAGTTGGCTAACTTCGCAAACCCTCTGTGGTTAAGAGAAGTGTAGGAGCGGTATTCATTTTTGGGAATTTCTGATTTTGCATCACTCTCACGGGCTTTCCGGCTGTTGAATTACGTGTTAACCGTGACAAGACAAGTGTTTAAGACGGAAAATGACTCGGTGTCCTTAATTATCTGGCGTTTCACCCGAACAGCACTAGTCTGGGGTTTTTCTCACGAAGCAAAGACATTTCTTAATCAGTTTCGCTCATACCATCTTTAAGTTCCGCATTGTGTTAATGTATGCTTCGCAGGTATGAGAGAAGTGTCAAAATCGGGAACTATAGTTGTGTTCGACACAATGTCCTGTCGTTTTATGTCCGAAAAGCGACATCGTTCTTTAACTGGAGCCAGCTGGGGTTTACTCTGAATATCCCACCACTCACAAAGCAGACTCCAGCATCCGAAAGTAGGCCAGTAGCTGGTCTGTATGTCATGCTACACCGTGCTCGGTCCCCCCTCTGGAAGGTTAATGGGAGTCTGACTGGTTCAAATGTGGAGTGGGGGGAGGTTACAGACAGACAGACTCAAGTGAAAGATGTCCAGCAGCTCTAGCTCTCCTGTGTAGGATTGCAGACTCATATTACAGTTGTGCATGTTGCTAATGTGCACATTACCTCTTTAATTTAAATATGTACTTGGTAATAGCATGAGAAGTATTGTACAGGCGTGTTAAGTCAGTGCTGTATTAGGTTTTCACACTTCACAGCTGTGTTTCTGTTCATATCAGAAAGGTGTTTCTATGTTTTTGCTTCTTGTTGTGAGAACCCCACCCATACCTCACAATTTCCTGCCTCTTTAATTATCTCCTGCATCTGTTCCTAATTATTTTAGTTAATAACTGCTTTGATTTGGTTTCTGTTGTAAAGCTTTTCAGATAGCAATAAATCAAGTCTCAATAAGTCAACCACCCTTTAATATTAGATTTTCCCTCATGAGAAAAATCTGTAAATCTGTGTGCACTTACAGATAGGGCATGGCATTTTCAAAAATGAATATTACGTGGATCTCATCGTTTTCAAACCGTCAATTTGATCTAGAGTCCAGCAGCACATGATGACTTTAGGATATGTGTGTGAGTAAAACTTTTCCCTTTAAACATTGTTCTGACTGCAAGCAGGATGTCAGCCACATGTGAGGCAGAGCATGTGAGCCCTTATTTTATTATCCTTGTCTTTTTTCCTAATGACTCACTAGAATTTGCCTTTTTTAGAACACTGATGTGTTCATTAAGCTTTTATAAATTTGCTGTTTTATATCCCTGCTTAGCAGACTTAAAAGCAATTATGTAGTATTATGTTCTGCAGTATTTTAGATAATAAGTAAATCCCTTGGTTAGCACTTGGAGGAAAGGATCATAATTAGCTTTAGTCAAATAAACCATAAACACAGACGCTTTCTTTTTTTTTTACTCTGATACAAATTTACGTCTGTTTATGGTTCACATGTTCGTTTTCAGCCAAGAGTTTGCATTGTTTTCTGTTGGGATAATATTATTACAGCAGAGAAGCAACAATAGTCTTTTTGTCGGTCTGAATGGCGGCTTTATGATAGATTCCAAAGGCTTACAAATGGGCCAGTGTCACAAAAAGCACCGAATAGTGAAGCCTTTTGCCAGCCTTTTAAAGAAAGAAGAAAAAGAAACACTTTACCCCAATAGTGTGACCCATGAAAGGTTTTCAGTGGCCTTGTCACATGATTAAACCACCTACAGGTAATCTCTGATCATCTTGTTGCAATGCAATCGTGGTCAGAGCTGGGGAGGTGTACCATATCGCGTGTGGGGGCTTAGTAGTTTAGGCTATAGCTATGTTTATGAAAAGTTGTTCCGAGGCACACTTGATGCAAGTCCAGGTGTTGGTCTGTTTTTATTAACCAACAAAATAATGTTTAATTTTTTGTTTTGCTTTTATTTACTGTATCGTGCTTAAAGCTGTCCAGCCTATTTCAAATGAGAGCTACATCAGAACCAGAAGCAGCAACACTGCTTGTTGATCTGTATGAAAATGTCTCGCACATTGTGTTGTGAGCCATGCTAGGTCGAGATGTCACAAATGGGCTGGTCAGTATTATTCAATCGTAATCTATGGTAGGGTAGATGTCACAGAAGCTATTTTGGACAGAAATGAGTAAAATTTTCCTCAAAATATTTCAATATCCCCAGCCATTAGTATTCTACATTTTTCTTTTCAGGGTGACGAGATCCTGGAGTTTGTGTCACCATGCATTGCGTCATAGACCTTTGCACACCTTGAATAGGTTTTCTGTGTTTTTACGGGCTACATACAGACAAACATAGTCACACTCACACCTACATACAACTTGGGTTCCTCATTTGCCAAACCTGTGCTTGCACTCCTAGAAAGAACTTAAACTCTGCACAGAAAAGCCAAAGTCATCCAGTGGATTGGAACTTAATAGTATAGTCGGCGAATATCTCAGAATAGTGGGGCTTTTATGATGCTTTTATGAAGACTGCGATTGTTGGCACCTTTTAAAATTACATTAATACACAAGGATGATCATATTAAGAAGGCAGTTATAAGAGGGCAAATGGATGATAGATACCAGTGTAATAACATTACTTTACACTATTATAATCCTTAAGTCTCAAATACAGCATTTTAGCATTTGAGCATATGTTACTTTATCACAATCATGGTGCAAGAAACTAGGTTTCTGCGAGAACTCATTCTGACATTTGCATGAGGTAGTTTGTCTATAAATGATCCCAATTCTTTTTCCCACACTCCGTCATTAGTGAAATTGAGGTCACACCACTGTTGAGATTGTAAATTGTCACAGAGGCTGAAAACTGCTACACCCATGAGGACACGAGTGGTCGGTTCATGGGATAATAGCTGAAATCTTTGTTTGTTTTTTGACATTTGTAGAACGGCTAAAACGGACCATCTTGGAATTTCCCCTCTATGATTGGCTCTGTTTGTGTCTTTTCTAGATGCCACTTTAAATTAGTTTTTGCCCCAAATACTTAACCTCGTTTTGCTGAACTGCTATAAGTGTCCTTCCAGTGTAGAGCTGTCCCCCTTCCATAATCCTCTCTTTCTGTCCTTGTAAACAACATTAAAACAGACCGAATCACACGCGCCGTGTGTAATGGTAAGCCTAGCATTTTTTATTTTTTCTCTTCAGCTTCTGGCTTTGGCCGTGGTCGGCTCTTCCTCATTGGGTAACATCCTCTCTTTGTGTTCACCTTCTTGAATTATTTAATCTGTTTGGCTTTCCAAAACCTAGCACTGTGCTGTGGTGGGCAAAATATAATGGTTTGTAAAGAGTGGAAGCTGTATCGGAGGTTACGTTTGAACTTAGTAATGTGACCTGAGCGTTTGCTCTTAATTTAGTGAAGGACGCTTGTTGTGCAGCAAGATGCTTTTGTAAATGGTTAAATAGGAGATCTGTCTATCATCTGCATGATTTAAGCATTGCTTTTTTTAAACCAGTTTTTCTCTGTTTATTAGTCATTCAGCTTCATGTATGAGTTTACTAAGTAGTTATTTAAAGTGTGGATATACGTTGTTGTTGTTTTTTTTCTAGCTACACTGCTTATGTTGTAGTCATTTATGAGAATGTGGCTTTCTCTGCAGGATCTGAGGTTTTGTGTTTATGAATATTCTTCCCTTGACATTCTTGTCCTCCTCATACCACTCCTCAAAAAATTGCTCGCACTCTGGAAAACAGGCCTGCGATGGGCTTGCTTCTCTAGCATCTAAAACTTTGTGTGGTCATTGTTATAATTAGACCCCCCCTTCCTGCTCACAAGCCACAGTAATGAACAGAGACTGCTTTCAGTCTGAGTGATACAAGGTGAGGTGAGCCCTCTTCCTCCCTGCTCCATCTTGGTTTTCTTTCTTTGTCATGAAAGGAAAAAGGGCACATTTGGATGGTGAGTAATGTTGGTATAATCTATGTTCTGTGTGGCTCTCTCTGGAAAAATGATAAGGCAGAGGGACATGGGTAATATAGAGTGCAGCAGGACAAAAAAGTCCTTAGGGACAGCAAGCTATTCTGAGCCTTTGTGCTTTTTCTCAGTCCCTGAGCTGTGGATGTTTCCCCCTGGGCCACAACGTCTGTGTCTGTATTTTCTATGCATAAACACTACAAAAAAGTGAGTGAGATGGGGCGGTGGGGAAAAGGGCCCAGACAGTAAGGAAGACAGGGAATCTTTTGTTAAGGAGACCATAGCTTCTCAGAAGTAAGATTTTCTCTAAGTGGCCTAAGGTGGGTGGTATTATTCTTGTCTCAAATTGTCCTTTGAATTCCTAGTATGGACTTGCTCTTTGCTTCAGCTCAGTCAAGAAAAGATTTAGTACACAGTTTATTTTACTTTGCTATGAGTCAGTGGCCACTATGAGCAAGCCTTGAGAAAAATGCTACTGGCATGGTGAAACAAATGGCTGTTGTCCATGCACCATCACACCTGCCAAACATGTTTGTTAGTATGGAGCCATATATAGAAGCTGTTGATGATACTGAGATATCTGAGCTTGTTTTTTATATTAATGCGATCATATTTTGAGCATGTTAAAACGTGGCTTCTAAAAATATGATTTGGTAGCTAAATTATTTTTTTATGTCCATTATATTGTACTTTAATGGAGGTTTCATAACTTTATTTTTTTTTTAGAGGAAAAAATAGTCACTCTTGTGTTTGTTGTAATAATGATTCCTGTTCTCTAAGTAGGTTCTAAGCTTTCTATGACATTCCTCATCTCTTAATCGTGCTCTCAGTTGGCCTCTATTCCCATCTAATTTGACCCTGGATGATCATCTTTCTTCGCCCCTGCTTAAAGTAGGGAGGGCACCTCGTGGCCGTTGCTCTCTGTCTGCTTTTTCCAGCTCTTTTCTGCTTCTCTTGGACACATCCATGCTTACATGCATACACTGTGTGTCTGACACCCATTGCAAAACTGGAGCTCTGTTGCCATCTGGGACTTGAGAGTTCTTCATGTGGAAATTAAAGCCATGTGGTTGCTTGTAAGCTTCCCTTCTCTGAACTAGAATGACATACTTGTTCTTCACAGCCGCCACAAAGCTACACCACTGAGCTAATGTAATGACAGGGGAAACGGGATGCACCACAGGACATTCTTTCAATTTAATTGTCATAAATTGTTCTGCTAATGACTGTAGTGATTAATACGATTGTAAACTTAAGCAACAGATGTATAATTCCACCATATTCTTAATTTGAATTGCTTTTTCTTTTGATGTAGGGAAGTGAGAAACCCTCGATGAAGCGTCAGATTTAGATCATTTTCATCTTAGTCGTGCCTCATTAAAAATCTGTTTGTCTTTGACACTTCATGCTTATTAGTACCCTGACAGTGAGGTTATAAGATCCTCTGCAGGAACAGCGGTGGTTTACAGTACATGTTTATAATAAAATATGCATCTGAAGAGTGGGTGTTTACTCGGCAAGGTAACCAGGCTGAGTCGGTGCATGGTTCAAGCTTGTCTGATCTGAGCGTCCTTTGGCTGACCATGCAGCGCTGACTAATCGTGTGCTCAAAAGAACGAAACATCTGGCGTCGCTTTTTTTTTTTTGCTTTCACCATCAGCTGTGAGGTTAGTGTTTTGAGTGCCAGCCACATAAAATACATTAACGTAAAAATTTGATATTAATAACAATATTAATATCAGATATTAACAACAAATCTGACCTTCGGGATTCAGGTCAACCTTTTTCCAGTATTTCCAAATTTGACCTCAGCTCGTCCCCCTTGTGTTTTTGCCCTTGTGCTGGTACAAACTGCCTGAGGTAGTTTGACTTGAAGGCTTCGGTTCAAGATATCAACCCACACGCACATATTGGAAATATGTCATCGTGTATCTATCTAAATAAGAGTCTAGCGCTTGTGGTTAGTTTCCAGGGCCCTACAGTAAGTTATTGCCAGACTACTTGTAATCCCAAGCTTTCATTCTTACTTGGCGCTTGTATAATCCTCTGTCTTAAATCGGAATCCGCTCAGATTAAGATTGATTATAAGCCAAAAGAGAGATGATCAGAAACCAAGGGAAACAGAAATATGTTTAAATAACGTTTGAGAATTGTGTTCTGTTTCCTGTGAGATTAAATATATCTTTTAGTTTTTCAACCGCAGTTAGCTGATAGAACTATAAATGGCCTTTTGGTTTTCAGTGCGGAGAGCTGTTTAAAAGTGTGCTACCAGTAAGTCTTTGAAATAAAGCTACTTGGCTTAATTTTTTTCCTTGCAAAAGCCAGGCTGGTTATGGCTTTATCCATGACTTTTTAGAGTATGTGAGCAACATTTAGAGATAGGAAATTTTAGTGATAAATCAGTAAAGGAAGTTTTGACTGCCGCATCACGGCATCACCGCTGAAGACCTTGTAATTAGCTGACTGTGACTCAGAATGCTTTGCAAGCTCTTTGTGGTTACAACTGTGCACTGTGAGCTTATATATGTGAGCCTAATTTAGAGCCCTATGTCATAACAGGAAATGATGTCATCTAAGCCTTAGTTTCTACCCTGTTAGCAACATGGTTGTCAAAACGTAGCCATACAGTTGTTTGTTTTGTTTTTCTTCTTCTGAATGTTCAGCGGTGTTAACCATCTCAAATTCCAGCTTACTGTTTGCTCACTGTCTTCTCACTATCTCAAGGGGCGATTTTGTTTCTTTCAAACACATAACCTTTATTCATTCCTTCTGTTTTCTACACAGTTAGACAAACGACACATCCCTGTTCATATTAACTCCCCCAGGTGTGATATTCGTGCGAGGTTTCTCCCACTTGGTGACCTTCTCAGTTGCTTAATCACATTTTCCATTGAGCTTCCATCTGTTGACACCCTGATCCCGACCACAAGTAGCCACCTTCCTGTTCACCACTTAAAAAGAGCAGCTGAAAGTAAATTACTTTGACGCAGCCACGGATGTAGCCTCAGCTGTTTTCTCTTGTATTTTGCTTATGAGTCATAAGCAAATCACCAGTTGTATTAGTGTGATATAATCTTACTTCTCGGATGAGAGGTGAAACGTCTTCAAGAGACATAAAGAAGTCCGGTAGCTTTTCTTTCCAAGCTCCTTAGATTACTTTGACCTGGATGACTGAGAACCTAC